AGATAATCTTAATCATAGGTTAATGGTGACATAGTGACGTGATGAAATGTATCCAAATCAAGCTTGGATCACGCCAAGCTGGAAATCAGTGATCGTCAAGATGCTGATGTTGAGATCCGTATACAAAGCTTCTAGACTCGGCTGTAAGTCGTAGTTCAGTCTGGATGACGTATTGCTTCTGGAGCTGAAATCTGTATCAACTTCATTCATCATCATCTGGCACCTTGTGACGTAATGAATTTTACTTTATGACCCTCTTGTTAGACGACTTTTTAATTATATGTTTGTTCATTGTGCAGTGAGCGTATATTCTCTCGTGTTTATTTCTTCGAATTCTCCAGTTAAATAAAAGAAATGTCACTACAAACCTGCTTCTCTCACCGTTTCCTTCTCTATGATGTTTAGTAGCAACTAGTCTATAATTGATGGGTAAATTTATAAAAAAACTAGACATTTAACCAAGTAAGTGAGTGTAGAAGATACCAGCTGAATGCAGAGGGTCTCTGATGCGGTTAAATCAGTAACTGTTTAGAAAGTATACTTTATACACACCATCAGTCTGTCTATTCATTTGTGTTTATGTGCGTACGTTCATAAATCAAATTAAGTATATTTATTGCCTTTCAGATATGAAATTCAGGCTGGAGTTTTTTAATAAATCTACTAATGGTGAGTTGGTATGCAGGGACATTAACCAGAGAACCATTGTAACTCAAAGGAAAGGGGCAACGAACAGCCATTTCATCATAATTTAGACTTATGATTTTATAATCACAACCCCATCAGAGATTAGGTTAATAACCATCAAATATCCAGCCGATACGTCGCCTTTCAGTAAGTGGATCGGATCTCAGTAGTTCAAATTCTGTTCCTTCGCGAAATAGCTCCCAACTTCATTAACAAGTATTTGTTCTCATATCTCACTTGTCAGACCTGCAGCTCAAGAATACTCACGATGACTATGAAATCCACCTCGAAGCAAGTCATCAGTGAGCATTGAGTCGATATTCTATTTACATATTATTGGGGTGTTAAGTGATTTTTATGAAAGCTTCATCAAGAATGCAGAGAATTTAGGTGATAAAGGGGTTGGTTAGAATAATTTCTGATTCTTTTAGGATATCTTGAATCTACACCAGTAGAATCGAATTTCTCTCGTAAAGATATCTGTCAGGTAGGTGTTTGATTTCGACGGATTCCCAAATTAGTATTTCCTACAAAATAATGAACACATATTCGACACAAGGAACAAACCAGTAACACGTTTTAGTACTTTTGTGTTTAAAACGTTATTACATGAATACGTTAGCATTATTGTTCTCTTTCAATGGTTTTCAACCAGCAAACCACTGTTTGGGTAACCTACTATCACAGATGATTGTAGTCGATCGCACTGGACTGGATCAAAAAACAACTGTGAGGAGCTATGAGAAGATGGGCATATGCTATTTGACCGATCGAAAGACCCTACAAGATTTGGATTTCACCAACGATGATGATTTATGTCTAATGTCTTGTCACACAAGCTCGAAGATCTACAGGCGTCAACTAACAAGTTGACAGAAGAGATGAGGCGAGGCAGCTAATGAAGACAGGACTTCGTTCAGGTGAACGTAGAGAAGACAGAGGTGATAAAGATACACAACCAACAACAATAACAAGCACCAATCAACATGAACAGGAGAAATCTGAAGGAAGTAGTCTCTTTCATCTACCTACCTACCTACTTACCTACCTACCTAGATAGGCAGGGAAGCATCGTTTCACCTGCAGGCGGTGCAACGCATTGGGATGTTAAAGCAGTCAGGATGAGGAAGACAGCAAGACATGGCTTCATTATTTTGTCTGGAATCAGTGTGGAGATCTACTCCACTGCACTCCACTGCACTGCACTCAGCATAAAGCGTGAACAAGATCCAGATTCCCAACACTAATTCAGTCAAATCAATGCTTCTGTGTGATGGTTCGGAGACTTGTCGCATCACGAAAAGCATTTACAACAAACTGCAGACATTCATCAACAGCTGCCACTCACACTCATTCAACACTGACACTGAAGATCAGATAGATAGATGTCTAGAAGGAGTGGGCAACTAGGAACTCTGGCAACGAAACAACCAACAACCCATCACCCAACAAGTATGCAGAAGGCATTGGAGATGGATTGGGTTGGACATACACTGAGAGGACCATTTTGGGACATGACGCATCAGGCTAGGCGAGGCCCTCGAGTCGAGCCAGAATGGGAATCGATGAGTTGGGTGTCCGAGGTGAGGATGACATGGAGGAGATGGTGTGAGAAGGAAATGAAAGCTTGTGTGCATTGGTGGGGCTAGATTGTAAAGACTGCAGAGAATAGAGTGGAATGGAGATGACTTGCTGAAGGCGTGTGTTCCACTGGGACCCCGAAGGACAAATAATAATAATAGTAAGTAATGTTTTCTCTGTAAACACCATGGAGATGAAATTCTGAACATAGCATTCTAAGGAGACATTATGGACAGATGAATCACTAGTTTCCTGTTATTGATCTGTGATAGAAAGTCAATCTGACCAGTAAGACTATTGTATTCACAGCGGGACGAATTGTATTTTGAAGCTCATCAGCTTCTTCGCCACTGACCAATGGATTAAAATATTAATTACTGTTTTATCAAAAAGTATATATGGTAATTCTGTAGGTAGTGTCTATCATACCCTGACATTAATTGCAGAACGGGGGGCACTAAACAGTTGCTTCATCTTAGCATGGGACTATGAGGGAGAACACATCCATGATCCGCCTAGGGATCGAACTCACGACCTTCAAGTCTCACGCCAAACTTGTTAACCATCCAGCCGATGGGTTGGAATTCATTGGCCCACAGTTCCTTAATTCTGTCATTTCGCAATGTAGCGCGACTATTATCCAAGTTCTTTAGTTGGCGTCTGCTTCTCTTCCGAGTGACTGACACCGCTTTTCATTAGAACTTCAGGAATCCTTCTCGAATTACGAAATAGCTATCCAGACCTCCCACGTTTTCAACATTTCTCCAACTGATGTCAGTCCATGATGAATACCAACTTGAAAAGTATTTATTGTTGATTACTTGGAGTCCCAAGAGATCTAAGTTCTCTACCTATTCAACTTTTTATCAGTACTGAGGACAGTTATGCTTGAGAACTGGGTCACTAAAGTTGACAGTTTAAGAAGTTCCTGCCTAGCTATTTGGACTCCAGTTGCTCAAAATATACCTTATTGGTGCCAGGAGTCAGGAAATGTAAGTAAAGTGCAGATTACTATAGAGTCTCTTCAGTCATCCTATGGCCTAAGCAGCTTAGTTGGCTCACGATAATGGAGTATTGACAAAGATGGATTCAACTGCACCTATAGTTTAGGTATAGCGCCAATGGATTAGTGTTGGAAATCTTTTAGAAAAAGTAAGCCATAAGAACTTTATTGATAGATTACGGCTTCTATTGAGCTATGCATGGACACTAGAGGAAAACAACCAAACGAAGTGTCATTCTTTAGCCTTACAGCTACATGTAAATATGATATCCACACGGCAGCAAGATGTGATCAATCTTTCGGTAAAGTATGGTAACGAAAATTCAATTCTGAATAAACTTTATTGTCTGGAATTATTACATACTATTATACATACTAAGTGAATGGAGATTGATTTTAAGTTCATTTTCATCATATATTGACGCCACTGAAGAACGATTAAAAACCTGCAACTACCGCATAGCTGTCTCGCACTTGCCTGGGCCTCCTCAGGAATGCACGTCTATGACACTGGAAGAACCCAGCCGAGACTAGAATGCTTTCTTCTAACTTTTATCGATCCGCGATGAAAGCCACCTTGAAATCAATAAACCTCTACAACCAGCAACTGAATTACTCACTCGTAACTTACTTCGAGATAGGTCTCTTAAAAATCGAACGTAAATCCACAATCTGTATGGTCAACAAGGTCGTGAGGGAGGTGCCAAAAGATGATATTATGTGGTGAGCACACTGTATCGCCAAATGACAGAAGTAGGAAGATTCAAACCATTGTCGGGATGTTAATATGCTGTCTGCGAAACTTGACAACCCTAGACTATTCGCGTGTTGTGAGTACGCACTGCTGAGGAGTCACATACTAGGACGAAACAGCTGTTCAGACTTTTATTATTTCTTCAAGCCATGTCACTTCATAATCACAATTACTTGAAGTTAATCCCTTACTATTTGAATAAAGATTCATTACGAGTAAGCGAATATTAAGCTACTAACATAGGTCTTCTTTTGCAATTTCTCATCATTCCCTTATCAACATACTCGTCATTTCGAATCAACCGATTTTTGCATGGTTATGGATGGACCTTGCTGGTTAGTGTTAGCACGCAAGCAGCGCAGATTAATCAGGGCTTACTATAAGCTGACTCCCAATATCTAACAGTAATGGAATATTTGCTTCAAACGGTTTTCTTATTTTTATTCGTCCCTTGGATTCCTAGTGGAACACATGGCTTCAGTAAGACTTCTCCATTCCACTCTATGTGTTCCGCCTTACTATGCTACTTTCTAATTGTGAACAACCTTATCACTGTACGACGGTCTAGCCTGGAATAAAGTTTTACCGATAATAAGTTCATCAGTTGTAGATGTGATTAAATCCTCAAAAACTATAGATAAGGTAGCATTATGAGAGATACAGTATATTGCCTAAATGTTTCAACCTCGGGTGAAGTTAAAACCAATCACCTACTAGTTCGAACCCAAGTACTCAAATGAATACTCTGAAACCACAAGAAAGTGAGAAATAAACCACAGATAATGTGAATCTTAAACGAATCATAAATCCACTAAGTCAGCTGTTTAACGGTTACCAACTGTAATTTAAGTTTCGAATCTTTTCTGTTGTTGGTCTACAGGATAGAAATGATCAATCACTCTAGATATGGCAGTTCCTTACAAGAATTTCTTGATACAGTGTGATCAAATCATTAAACATTTTAAACGTACAACGTAGAGGAGAAAACTGCTATATTTGAAGCTATGATAGCTTGGTACAAATCATAATGTGAACATTATCGTCCCTTAGGACTCACTTATATTCATCAACTAATGAGTCCCCAACGAAACGAAATGCATGAACAATTACTAGATATCAATGATCAGGTGGAACACGATCAATTTTGAAGACAGTATTCATCATTATCTACAATCCATTATATATATGCATTAGAAACTTGAAACGTATAACAAAATAATGGGTTCAAAACTAAGTGATTAGACAGCCAGTTCATTGTTACCTAGTGACAATAATCAAGGTTGAAGTCTATGAAAACTAGATATGCTGTGAAAAGAAAACTGAAAAATGTTATGAAGAAAATCCTGACGAGAAAAGAAATCAAACAGAATAACTATGTACACAGAGTAGAATAATAATAGTACTAAAATGAAAATAACCTTTTGATACAAACACTACCGATTATCTGTCTACATGGTTCATTGCATAGAAAATTGTAAAAGGAAACTGTAATATGTATGAACTATACATTATTTAAACCAGTTGAATAAGGTTACACTATGTTCATATACAAGGAATGTAATTCCACTGGTTGGTATACCTCGAAGAATTTGTGGTAAAAGTCCTTTGTAAAGTCCATGAACCCCTTCACCTCTAAAGAAGAGAAATGAGAAAGTAAACAAAAGTAATAAAGTTTAAAAAAAATCAACAATGATACCTGCTAGGTTTTATCATACGTATGTATGCAGCATACTGGTATACACAAAAGTTTACACTCACAACAACTGCAATGTACATGTTTGTGCATCAGACAGTGAGCAACATCTACTATGTGATTCTAAATGGCTACCAGATTTCATAAGGTAAAGTAGACAGCGTTTGACACATCACCTCCTCTGGTCGATAGTCAACCCCCTAGATCAATGAGCCACAGCTCCACACTTCAACAGTTGTCAAGTTTCATCAGTGGATGACCAGTAGCTGCTATCTTGATGTGGTTGTCGGACTTGTATATCACAATGGCATAACGAGAAATGCTGGTAGAACACTTGTTCCCTTGAGGTCCTACCATACCAGAAAGGTCTGTTAGATAGTGGTTAGACAAAAAGCAGTTACGATAATAGAGTAAATGGCTACGGTATGATGGAGGCAAAGTCTTACAACTGACAGAACAGGGGTGTGACAGCAGTAAGGTGCTTTCTTTGGACAACCAGTAGTGCTACGCTGATGCTGCCTTCCTATGGGACGTAGGGGTTAGGAAAAGTTGCCCCCAAAATATCATACTTCTATCCCCCGCAGTATCCCAATGTCTATGACAGGGATTCGTAGTCAGATTCGAAAGCAAAAACCAAACTCTTAAACGTCCTATGTGATCAGCCTCAAGCAGACGTTTCTTGGGTTTTGTGGTCACGCATTATCCCTTCTCTTTTACGTACCTCAAGAAGAACTAGCCTTTCACGGTGTGGGCAGCCAGGAAGTGTCAATCACTCACACACTTCCAATCTGGCACCCAAAGGGCAAAAAAGTCAAGGTAGGACTTTACGATGGAATGAATCAGTTGAGTTTTTAACAATTGACAATAGTAAGCTAATAGGAAGTGAACAGAAAGAAGATGACATTGAAATATAAAAAACATAAGTTAGTGAGTAGTCAAAATGTCTAAAATGTTACAGATAAAAAAAAGGTGGATAAATTTATCTTACTTTGGCCAATCTTGACCAAGCTATCAATACTTCCCAAAAACTGATTCCTGACAGCTCGAGAACACAAACCAAGATGTCAACACGTATATACACTGCTCAGACCAGTAATCAGAGACTTAGTTGAGTTGGAACATGTTTCTTTCTCTCATCATTCTTAGCTTTTTCCAAACTTAATCTCACCTCAGTTGACACTGTGCATCAAGTGTCGACAATATTGGCAGTTATATGTCACTTTGCCACTAATGAAATACATGTGAACTGATGCAGCTACGCTTAGTTAATTAGAAGCCTGAGATTAAATGGTAACCACGATGATTTCAATGAAGACTAGGTTAAGTGGCTTTGTTATTATTACTATTATTATTAACGAAAGTGATATCACTACCCATTTGCTATATACCCTTCATTTTCCATAGCTTTTACCTGCTGTTTTGCATATGACCTTAAAATAACCTACATGGCTGTTTTCACAACGTTATCGGTTTTTCTTCCCCTCCTCTCCAGAATGAACTCTCATTGATTGTTAACTATATGTGGATTTAGTGCTGTCAAGGTCATTTAGAAAAGTATATATTCAGCATCACTGTCAGTTGTATTGGCTGTTGTTGAGACAGTAGAAGGCTCTCTGTCAACAGTCTGCCTTCTCTTCGTGCGTCGGTGGTATTGTTGTGGTGGTGATTGACGTTCTGAGTCGATTCGTCTGCGCGTTAGGTTCATAGTCTGCTAGGCTCGTATCGCTCGTAGACTGTTAGGTCATACTATCCGTTATAGCATTATTCACAATTCTTAATGATATTATTATTTTGATGCAAGTATTCCAGTTGTACAAACTTCGACTGATGGCATTTGAGATTACATTAAGAGGACTAGCTAAGTGCTAAGCCTTGCAATAATGAAAAGACACTCAAAATGAAATCTGACTGTACAATTACAGGGTAATAAAAGCTTCCATATTATATACATACAGCTGATAAGGATTGGTGAAGTTTAGATCAACAGAAGAATTATCGGTAGAGCATAGCAGCTCTATGTACGGTTATACTAATCTGAGACAGACAAAATAAACAACACAACAAAAGTGTGACACAAAGCAATAAGAAAGTAGCTTAGTCTGTCTGTACCATTAAGAAAGTAAGTGATAAATGAAAGGTAGAAAAAGACGAAAAAAAAAATCCAGTTGCGTGAAATGTAAGAAATTAAGGTGACTTATTTAAAAATTAAACATCTACAAAAAGTACCGCCTGTCATGAACAATTCAACCTCTAAAAGCACCAACTAAATCAACTACAGCATCTATCATCTAAGTGGGTAAAAGTTTAGGAATGATGACTGAAGTTGGCGGAAGGATTAAGTAAGCTGGTGCAAGAAAATTTCCTTCAACTCACAAAATAAGTGAAGGAAATATGTGTGTATCCCAACTCTTCACTTAGTAATGAGAGTACATAGTAGATAAGACAGATAAGATCAACGTAGAACCTCGAACATAAGTCCATCGGCTCAAGTTGCCACTTCACAGTAGTATACAAAGAACAGGTGGATATAAAAAGTAATATCAAAGTAAAAAACATTGTGTGAGAGAAAAAGCAGTTTGAAGACAAAGGTTAATGCAATGTCAATGACTGAATAGATCTGCGACACTGCAACCGATTTTCAGACATGTTACCAAGAGTCCTCTCAATCACTCATTCCTATCGCCTCGGAGACCTTAGCCAGGGAGTCTACATCTCCCTACACGAATCAGACCAACAGTAAGAGACTTAATCGACTGGTGCCAGGTCTTGGTCTGGTCACCCTGAACTCTCTTCCAACTTCCCCTAGTTTGACACATCGAAGTAGGCGGTAGCTCAGCATAGGCAGTACATTTGCAACCCATCTCACTCGACTAAGGTTCACAATCTTATCATCAATCAACTTGACTGTCTTGCCTAGTACCCTTCGCCTGACCCTAACATTGATCAGGCGGTAATTCCACCAACCGCTAGCAATACTACGAAGACACTTGTGATAAAAACCCTGTAACCGCTTCATAGCTCATACGTTTAACGGCCATGTCACAAAGCCGTATAGCAGGACAGAACGGACTGAGGCACAGTATACTCATCCTTCGACAGATAGTTAGATTTCTCACCACCAGATGTGGACTCATTGATAGCTCCACTTTTTAATAACTCGAATTCAAATAATAACTTGATTTCCCATAGAAACCAGAGTAATGTGGTGTATACGACTAGACTACGCAACAAAATCAAAATAATGAATTTGGACATAAGAAATGAAAATTCAGTGGGTGATAAGAGAGACAGGCTAGAAGGAGCTTACAAGGAAGGATTCACAACTTTCATCTTACTTCTCAATAACAGAAGAAAAAAACTGCGGCGTGATTGCCCCTGGTTTCGATTCTTGGTTATGCCTGCCATCGTCTCAAGCCACTGAGTTGCACGGATCCCTCGAATTCCCTCCACGAAGTCATGAGACACATACGGATGCTAATCCAGCATAGCTATCCATCATTCCATAGTGCCACATAATACACCCGTTACCTCTCTGATTATCTGAGCCGGTGCCAGATCAAATGAACCATGAGTGGTGTAATAACCGCTGGGATAACATACTTAATATATGTCCAAGTCATCGAAGCTACGGTTCCAAGATAACCTCATTCTATGAACGATGATATACATCACGTCCCAATACGCGCCGACGTGGTGTTTCCAACAGAAGCAAGCAATCCTGTGGAGACAACGGTGGTCAAAAGCGCAGGACTACCAAAAAACAAAGCATGGAGAAACCAAGTTCCAAAGGGGAAAAGTAGAACTATTCACACTAACGCGGTGTATAACGGAACTTCTACAGTTAGGCTAATATTACGACGAGGTCAAAATGTCATACACTGGTGTGTGCCACTCTGGCTTTCGATGTATGGTTACATATATCATCAGTTATACCCCTGTTAGTATTCACGCTACACCTTAGAAATACAAACTTTCCGATGACTCCATGTAGACCACCACTACCAATGGCCTAGAAACCCTTTACACTTTGATGGTACGAAATATATACCATATCTAAGGAAACTGATTGAGTAGGCTTTGAGTGCCTTGTTTGTTGCTGTACAGTAAAACGATATCGTCCGCATACTCAAGGTCGAAGAGTGCTTAACATAGTTACAAGTTTACACAACCATCGCCAACTTCTTATAGGCCTTTTACCAGAATGCTGTGGAACAGTGAAGAGAGTAGTCTGTTTGCATTGGTTCCACCTGAGGTGTAAAAGTATAACGCTTTCAAGCTGTCAATAAACCTCTAAAGGGTACTACTATCTAAAACATACTTCTGCAGTTTAACGAATGGAATGTAGGCCTAGTAACACGAAAGAAAGATTGTTGTCTAGCAACAGAAGTAACGCTGTTCCAGCATCTGAAGAAAGGTGAAAATAAAGATCAGTTCAACCACGAAATGAACAGAATGCTGCCCACTTCTCATGGATCAATTACTAACATGTTTCTCGGTGCCCGTAAAGTACGTTGGAAGCCACGTTAGTGATTATATTATTATTATTTATCCCTTGGGTTCCTAGTGGAACATACGGCTTCATTAAGTCGTCTCCATTCCACTCTATTCTCTGCAGTCTTTACAACCTGGCTCCACCAATGCACACAAGCTTTCATTTCCTTCTCACACCATCTTTTCCAAGTTACCCTCGCCTCGGACACCCAACTCGTCGTTTCCCCCTTGGGTTCCACTAGACGACCTGATCTGGCAGGTGATGTCCCCAAATGGTCTTCTCAGTGTTTGTCCAACCCAATCCATCTCCAATGCCTTCTGCATATTTGTTCGGTGATGGGGTGTTGGTTGTTTCGTTGCCAGAGATCCTAGTTGCTTACTCTTTCTAGACATCTATCTGATCTTCAGTGTCAGTGTTGAGTGAGTGTAAGTGGCAGCTGTTGATGAATGTCTGCAGTTTGTTGGAAATGCTTTTCGTGACGCGCCAAGTGTCTGAACCATCACACAGAAGCGATGACTTGACTGACATTAGTGTAAAAAATCCGAATTTTGTTGTTTATACTGAGTGCGGTGTAGTGCAGTAGGTCTCCACACTGATTTCAGATTAATGAAGGCCTGTCTTGCTGTCTTTATGATCCTGGCTGCTTTGACATCTTCGTCTGTACCTATATCGCCTGTAATTGGAACGATGGTGCCTACGTAGCCACTCTGTGTTACGCTGTAAGGAAGGTACATCAGAAACTTTATGTAGGATTCTCAACAAGGCTGGAATTAAGGTGGCATAGAAACCTACAAACTCACTCGTAGATAAGCTTTGTCTGGTTAACGATCTAATATACCCAATTAAGCAAAATAATCCAATCTATCAAATTCCATGTAATGATTGTGAGGTCAAGTACATGGGTCAAACTAGCCTGTCAGAGTCCGTTAGAATAAGCAAACATAGGAATTTAGCTAAGTATAGAATGACAGACCCGAATAAGATCAGATAATCCAGAAAGAACCTCGGCTATTGCGATACATGCAATAACACAACCATACATTAGGGTGGGGTGGAACCACTGTACTTCAGTCCAATATAATTAGGTGGAGAGTGAGAGATACATTACTTAGTCTTTGTTCATCGAATCAATACCCAATACATGTAACGGGAATGACGCAACACCTGTACTAGAGATATTAAAACCTTACCACTACCATTAAAGAAAAGAATGTAAGGTGATAGGACTATAAAAATCAGTTACTGAAAGTAGTGTGATTACAATGATATGACTATGAGTAATGATATATGCTCGAAACGTCATCAAATAAATAATACTATATCACCGTGTGTTATATATCAAATAAACAAATCTAGTATGGAATTAAATTCTACCACAGTCCTCAAGTTTTACACATATTAACAAATCTGAGACCACTAAAAGATGCATCACAGAAAATAAAATGATAATATGAAGACAAAAAGAAAGTAAGACATACTAGTAAAAATTGGAAAGAACGGAGCAGTTACTTAAAGACATAATTATAAGCAGAGCTTTCATTACCTTATTAGATTTATCGACTTTTATATACAAAACGACCGAAAATTATATTGGTGCCATTGATTATGAGTTGTGTCTGACGACGTCTGAAGTCAGTGAATCAAACGATTCCTTAGACTTCCATTGTGATAATGTTGGCAGATTATATCCTACCGTAATCCTACACCTTTAATTTCGCCATGCTGTCATAAGCTGTTTAGGCTTTACGTCTAAAGTATCCACACTTCGAAAAGAAACAATAACCAAATTGATGTTGATATGAGTATACACTAACCTCAATAATTGTTGGATGACATCGGAAACTCCATTGTAGCTTCTATGCTGATCTTGCATTCTAGAACGAATAACTTGATAAGGGTAAGTGATAACTATAGCAGCCAATTTAGAGGTACAGGAGAATAGTAGGTATTCAACAGTGGACTGAAATGAAATGACAAGAGCTACGTAAAATTATTTGTCTCAACATAAAGCGAAATTTTTTCGGCTTTTAAATGATATAACATAAAATCAACCGTTTTATCAGCTGATATGAGGGTAAAGAAGATTATTATAAATCGCTAAATACTATTGGTTAGCTAGCTAGTTACTAGTCTTATGGTTTGATACTTAACACAAAATGGGCAGTTGCGTTAACTGTCATGTGACAGACGAGGCTTACAGTTAGGTATATAGGATCTGCAAAAAACCATCGACTCAACGTCTTCAGCTAGTAAACAGTTGAAAAGGCAAAGATGGAACGCCTTTTATGATTCAAATATGGACACTCAACTCTAATGGTCATTCAGTCATCATTTCATTATTATATTTGACTTCTAGCAATTCACGAAACGTGATCATTATGTGATGTCATCTATATGCATCCTCACTCTGAAATTAGAAATCTCCCCAGACTTACAACTTCCCACGGGTACTTCCTGCATACATATATAATAAGACTGGGAGAAAATTGAAAATATAGATTATAAGGTAGTTTTCATCACAGATTGATACTGCCTAGAGAATCATTGAAAACCTGAGAGCATTGAAGAGCTGCTTTATCCAAACTTAAAACTTTTTAAGGGACTCTGCAAGGTTTGAAGCCGTGAACCGTTCAGTCCCACAAGAAGTGAGTTACCATTCGGTAACTGGGTTGGAGTTAAACAGCGTTTCTAGTTTTTATCAATTCATAATATGGCCAATATGGTTGGTAGCTGTCCGTTTTCATTCCCAACTATACAAATCACGGTTTTGGATCAGAATCTTTGAAAATCCATCATGAGGTAACTGGCTAATGAGCACCGGACTCTGTGATAGGATTCTTTTGAGAATATATAAACTAACTTAGTTTTTATCACGAACTGATATCAACTGAAAAACCAATGAATATCTGGATAGGTGTTTCGGCCTTACTTTGGGACAGTATACGCTCACAGTGCAAAAAAAAACAACTTTGAACTTTATCACAAAACCAATGGTTCAATACTCTAGGAGATATGGCTCAGAACCAATCTCAGTGGCCCAGATGCATTATCTTCATTTAAATCATCATATCCCATTTAGGTATCGTTTTGTCGCTTCTTGCTATCTTTGTATGACTGACCATTACTTTCGATTACTTTCTTATGTACTTTTGCTTTATTTTCCGGGTTGGTGCCTTCTACCCTGATACGCTGATGTGGCAACTCAAACTGTTACACAATAATATTACATTGTTGTCTTGTTAGTATTGAATAACTGACCCTTAGTTGACAGATTAGTCAGAAAGAATAACATAACGTACCAATTTTTCGTTAATTCGTTTACCACGATAATGCTTATTATAGGCATTTTTGAAGTGTTCATAAAACACAAATTGAATTGCCCCATGACTGATACCAAATAGACCAGGTACATAACCACGATACAATCCAGCAAAACCTTCATTGGTCCATAGACTTCGTAATATATGCCAAGTGGATTCAGTAGATTTTATTGATGAATTTTTATTGGTTACAGGTTCGTGCATACATCTCATTACTTTTTCATACTGTAAACATTGTCTTGTTTTAATTACCCATATTGGATTTACAATGGACAACGTTATAATACCTAGATTGGTACAATTAACAACCGATTTATGCAACATAGGGAGAGTGACTGAAAATAAAGTATAACTTCAATAGATAGTAAATGTTAGAATCGAACGGGATAGGAATGCTCTCAGTAAGCTCGTGCAGACTCGTGTACTAAGAGGTAATGAGCTACGCCAATTCCGTGAGGGCTAATGATACCAACTGGATGACCAAACGTCACTAAGCAGAGTGGTGTTCGAATCTGTGACCGACTGGTTGAAAGTCAACTACCTAAATTAATAAGCAACAGCTCCACAGTAAATGTTAGACAGAGAAAGAACACGTTAGAGTAGATCGATAGGAAGCTTTGCTTGACCTGGGTTGCTTGCTTCCTAGTAATTGTTAATGGATAGTGTTGCAGCTTTGACGAGATTCATATTGGTAGTCACATTATTTTATTTATTATACATATTTTGCTTATCACTCATTTGGTAACATTATTCCATAACTCAGTTCAAGAGCTTCTCATCCACTTGTCATTCACTTTCATCGTTCGCAAATAACTGCATGTTGATTGATATCAGTTACTGTGTACTACTGGGTGACTTTAAAGCCCACTCTAGCAAATGCGCAAATAACCAATCACGTTTCGGCATTCCAGCTACTAAGGGTAGCTTTTCATAAAATATACAAGACTAATTGGTTATTTCTGCAGTTGCTACGATGGCCTCTTAAGTCACCCAATCGATCAGTGATTTTAAAGGCCACCATAGTAAAAACTGAAATCACCAAATAGACTTCTCTATCTTATAAAAATCTGTCTTTCCAGTCGAAATGAAGAAATCTAACTCGATCTTTGCTAGGATGGTTTTACAGTCGCTCGAAATTGGTTGTTTCAGATGTTTTATAAATAGTGGTGGGCTGTGGCCATAAAATTTAGCTGTGTATCCAGATAATTCACATTGCCAAGGTATTATATATGGAGACCAAGGTTTAAAGTTCATGTTCTGTTGTATGCGGTTGGGAGAGGCAAACTGTAGGAAACGACAAGACTGAAACGAAGGAAGGAATGTTCATTATTGACATCTTGTATAGTAGTCATCAAATATTGTACACTTTCCACTAAGACAGTCATTTGCATAATGTGTTTCATTTCCTCCTCGGCTTCTACCTTGATTTGCTCTTCATACGCCCACATTGTCTCTTGCGTTTCTCTAGACAGAAATCTTTACCCACTACTGGTAATTCCTTATGATTTCTACGACCCTCTCAACGTATACTACTTACATCCATTGTGATCAGCAGTGCCTACCAGAAAACTGCGTGACTACTCATGTGGGTGAATGATTGACTTTCAAGGCCATCCTAGCAACTGTTGAGATAGCCAATTACGTGGCTCTTTTCTATGAAAAACTAGCCTCTTCAGTAGAAATCCTGAAATTTGATTAGTTGATTTGGCAGTTGCTAGAGTGGCCTCTAAAGTCGGGCAACCTTAGAGGCCACCCTAACAGCTGTTCAGATAACCAATTACGTTCCTCTCTTTGGTGGAAAAATACTCTTCCGGGCGGAATATAAAAACCAGATTGATTATTGCAGCAGTTGCCAGAGTGGTCTTTAAAGTCACTCCAAAGCTATAAAAGAAATGAATGTTAAAATCAGATAACTTTACCCTAAGCTGGCTTCCTGTATGATTGAGATGTATACACAGATTGATTAACGATTGGCAATCGACATAGTCATCAATTTAAGTGCCAAGATTAAAGTTTATCGCTTTATTTTACGGAGGTTATCATCCGATGGCCAACTCTTGTATAGCGTATCCAATCGCATAAAATAGCAACAAGTAAGATTGATCCACTCCTACTTCTAGCCAAACCTCAACAATAAGTGTACTACAGTGTGACTCTATTGGATTAATGGTTGAAACAAGGTCTAATCTACAATAACCTTGTTCCTAAAAGATTAACAACTTATAGAACCAGTGAGTCAATACAAACTGGTAAGTATATCCTACTTTAATAAAGATTGGTATAAGTGTGACCGCAGACTGATTAGAACAAGACACATAAGATATACGGATTTTTGTTTTCACATGAAATTACACAATAGACTATAGCAACAGAAATATCAATTTTTAGGTTTTCTTAATGACTGAATTTTTAGCTGATTGATACTTGTAATTTCCCGTTGGTATACTGAGTCGAATTGCTCGACCTCTGTTGGTGGATGGTCTTCTATGTAAATGATGCTCCGACTACTGCCTGGATATTCATTATATTGTAGTCTATTTGATGGCTACCAGTAGAATCCAGGATGCGATGGGTAGTGGATTCCAGTCTCAATGAGAACAACAAAATGACTCACTGTCGGGTGCAGATACATCCAGCTGATGAGTCCTAAATAGGACGAAACGAGCATCTTGGACTCCAGTGCTAGTCATCAAATAGACTACGATTACATTTTCAGTTATACTTAGTATTCGTGTGGTATTTTGTAAGCACAGTTATTGTTTCAGATCAGTTTATCTATTTGATATAGAACACTGTGAAACTGTCATATTTATTACATGGCCCATTGGACACAATTCACACTATCCATAATCAATATGAAGATGATTGCATAACTTTCAGATCATTTCGTTTCCAAACACCTATCGATTCTCATCTTTCCTACTCTTATTGGCAGTAGAGTTTTTGTTTTAAATTATGAGAACAGAAGTTGAACTATGCTTGTTGAATATCTTGCTTATTTATGTATAAAATGAACAGGATGCAGTAATCAATATCTTATGTCACCTATATAGATTTGTTTTAAGGAAAGTTTTGCTACCATTGGAAATTATAAGATGAGAAAATCTATGTCTATAAAAATAAAGGCAAAAAGAAAAGTATGATTACTCTTACGTGATTATGAACAAGAAACTGGGCGTGAAACGTTATACAGCAAAATATTTTCGTTAACTTACACTTCGCATATCAAGGCATTTAACAATGGGCCAAACCTAATGTGTTAGATGTTGAGAGTCAATCGTCAGGAAGCTCTGTATCAGTAATCATGACGAAAACATTATTCCTTAGGTGATTCGCAGCTGTCTTACTCAGTCCTGGAATCGGAGATTACACCCTCAAGCTATTTAGGTGATGACTGACTGTACATGAATGGTTCACCTGTAAGTAGCATATGTAGCTGTGTAGTGACGAATTTATTGAATCAATGAAAATATACGATATGGGTTTGTGATATCTTATCAGCCACACCATTTAAGTGTCATCCGTGTTTGATGGGAACCTTGAGTTGACAATGATGAGGTTAAGTGTAAAAAAGGAAATTAGTAAATGCAACTTTAAGCTTGTATCAGCTGAGATAAATGGGATGTGTAGCGCATTTCCGCTTCAAGCAGCTACACATAAGAACAAGTTATCAATCTATGCTTTCGCTGATAGCTTGTTTGAACCATATAAGCGAACGAAGATAAACAGATAGACAAATTATTGTAGAACTTTGCATAGCAGCGCATCAACTCAAGTTGTTACATTTGAAAACACCGCAGATAGAGAAAGTAAATAGAAAAAGAATATGCTACTGAAGTAGACCAGGTGTATAAGAGGGAAGGGAATAAATTGCTACACATTATTAAAATTCGCGAATTTTCATAGATTATAAAGTGTATTCATTTGCGTCATTATGACCAATTTTGAACTATGTCAGTGAGAGCCTCTGAAGGATCTCAACCAAATATCTTACACCTCTCCACACGCCAAAGGAAGGCCTCCTGGTTTATATCAGGAAGACACAGCTAGGATTGGAAATGGTGAACCGAAGGCATTTATCCCACATGTTGTTGTAGCAGTATTCTGGATCTTTTTATTCCTCTTAACTCGGTTTTTTTTCCCTCTACAACATTTGTCTGCAAATCAGAAAGCAATATGATTGACCTATCAGTATCTTCCACACAACATCTCTGACTCATAACCTGCTACAACGACATGCATAATAAATGCTTCTGGCTAATTATTGCCAGTTTTAGCTGTTTTCTAGATATCAGCTAAAACTAAAAAGCTAGAACACAATGACTATTGACAATCCTGAGGTACTATGATCAGTTATAACCTAAAAGGACATTTACTGATTAGTGTACGATTGTCACTACCACCTTATATTTGTAATGTAAATGTAAGGCACTAAGCCACCTTGTGCACATCCGTGCAATAGGCAATAAGCCACACCTATTGTGTGGAGGCTAATCATACTACCTTACTGACCAAACCTCCGTAGGTGCAGCGGGGCTCGAATACATGACCCAATGGTTGATAGTCATCTTCTGCAACCAATGACTCACAGCTCTTATTTGCTCTTTCAAGATCAGCTTTTTTCAATGGACGCTTTTTAAGTAAATCTGATTAACTCTAACTGCTTACCAATAATTATAAAAATCAAAATTCATCAACAAGTACTGGATAATAAAGATGAACAAAAAGGTTTTAAAATGAATGATTTGTTAAAAGTTTACAAATTCGAATATGATCTACACCATAAGCATCAAACTACCAGTTAGCGAAATGTTGGAACAGTATAAGAAATATCAGTCAGTTCTTTCTCCTTAATTTAGAGTTTATCAGTAGTTTCTATCCACAATTACATACAGTATCGAGTTTAAAACCTTCAGTTTTCTTGGGGGAGAAATTTTCTATTCAACCATCAAGTTGTAATTCAACAGTCAATATTTTCCAATTTAAGGTAATCCATAATTATAATAAGATTATTATCCAGTTTCACTATGGGCCACTCTTTTCTCATAAGCCATCCATTCACGAAGTAAACAATAATTCAGCACTCTTTAGTTATTCATTTAAAGTCAGTTATTCTGAAACTCTACTTATCGTCTATGACTTCCATAAAACCGCTAACAGTAAGAGGCGAAGAGTTCTCTGAATGACGATGAACAACAGTTATGCTGTAGCTAGTGGCTTTTATCCATTTGCATAGTTAGTGCCAGTTTGTGGTGAAAACTATCTGGACGGGGAACCCTCTTTGAAGATGATGAAGAAATAATACGTGATAGCCTATTAAATACTTAGAAACTGGGGGTCTTGAGGCTTAGGAACATTTACTTGAGATATAACCATACATGATGAAGTAAACAATAACTGGTACAAGATAAACAGTACAAAACTAACCTGATAAAGCAGAATATGAGATATACTGCATGCTAGTAAGGGATATGGTTTCATCACCATGCTGAGCGAATCGCTTCATGCCTTCATAACTGTTAAATATAGATAATAATAATAATAATAATAGTAATAATAATAATGATAGTAAAAAGAATTGACTAAGTAAACGTCAACAGCAGCTGCCGCCCACGCTCATTCGACACTGACACTGAAGATCAGATGGATTGCCAGAAAGAATAAGCAACAAAGAACTCACTCTGGCCTGCCAACGAACCAACCAACAACCCATCGCCCAACAAATATGCATCAGGAAGTGGAGATGGATTGGATTGGAATACACTGAGAAGACCATTCGGGGACATCACCTGCCAGATCAGGCCGTCAAGTGAAACAAAAAGCGGGAACGGCGATTTGGGCGTCTGAGGGTGACATGGAGGAGATGGTGTGAAGAAGAAATGAAAGCTTCTTGGCAGTTGTGGGGCCAGGTTGGAAAGACTTCAGAGAACAGAGTGAAGTGGCGACGTGCCACTGAAGTCGTATGTTCCACTAGGAACCCAAGGGACAAATAATAATAATAATCAATAAAGTTGACGTTTGAGATGAAAAGCGCATTTCCATGGAAACACTTAACATAAAACTCAGTTTGTAAATCTGCCAGAAACTCGGCAGTCGCTGATTCGAATTCTGCTGCGGTTAAAATTTTCATTTCACCTGCAATCATCATTCAGTATCAATAAAGCCTTGGTAAAATAAAAGTCAATCACAAATTTGAATAAAGAGAAATGAGTGTCTTTTTTCCTGTCTTAACTTATTTCATAGCTTTTCGTTAGTCGCCTGTATACATTAGTAATTTAAGAGGAATCCAAAAACCGAAAAAAGCGAAAATTCTAGTAAAATTGATAATCTTGTTTGATGTCCTTTTCTTACTAAATGCGTCTCTTTAACTAGCTCAATCTTTCTTAATACTTAATGATACTAAGATAAGAAACAGATATTTCTCTCTGGAGAGTACACAACTAATTAACTGAGCTGAAATTCAATTTTAGTCACACAGTGAAGGAACAGTATCATTTACTGGATAACGTTTCGCACAGAATTTATTGTCCATATTGAAATCAGGTAACTCCACAAATTTGAGACAGAGTTTATACATTCTCAATTTCCTCTCCTTCTTTGTGATGACATGGGCAGTAGAGAGAAAATTCAAAGCCTCTGCTGTGTTACTACCAAACAAGGAAGGCACCTCAGAAGCATTACAAAGAACTCTCAATGAGGCTGGGATTAAACTGGTATTTAAGCCAACAAACTCGTTTAGAAACAAGCTTTTTAGGTTAAACAATCCTATTGATGTAACTGAAGAAAACACTTTAGCTTACCATATCCCTCGCAATGGTCGTGAAGTCAAATACATAGGTCAAAGTAATCGACCAGGGGCGATTAGAATAACAGAACACAAAAACTTAGCTAAATCAAGTTTAGTAGATTCTAATAAGATAAGAAATTTAGAGAAAAGCTCGGCTATAGCACTGCAGGCAATTACACAACAAGGTGGGATAGAGCGATATGGAGAGATTGGTTACCGAATCTGCGTTTATCGAATCAACACCAAATACATGCAGTCGAAATGATTCTGCACCTGTCCAGATATATGGAAAATTCTACTACCCTTGTCACTACAAAGAAGGAGAGGAAATTGTGAATGTATAAACTCTGTCTCAAATTTGTGGAGTTAACTGATATGAAAATGGGCAATAAATTGTGTCCGAAACGTTATCCAGTAAATGCTACTGTCCCTTCACTGTGTGACATTTCTAATAAACAGACTAAAATGGAAATTATAATAGACCACAGTGCTTAAGTTTTACTCCTATATTAAGCTGAAATTACTCCCCTTTTCAGAAGCTGTTAATGTCAATAAATAAGCATCTCTCACACCATCTTTTAAGCAAAAAAGTAATTACGTTCACCTGATAGAATACACCCAGTAACTGTTTAACATTGGAACAGAATAAAAGTTGACATAGTCTTCAAGTGATAAATTCATATGTCATTAGAAGATAAAGAAGAGAAGAGAGTTTGTATCACACAAAAATGGAATATAAACTAGTCAAAACAATGAGTTATATATCAAATTAGGATGCTAGTATCAGTCAGAATGATCTTAAAAATGCTTACTGATCACGTAAGATACTGAAATAAGCAGTTGTGGATGCAAGATTGCGACACAAAAAATAAACACTAGTCAATATTAATAAATCATAATCTGAAATACAACACAATAAGGTGAAAGGCAAACAAAACAAATTCGTTACCAATACAGTTCATGGCTAAATAAAATGTCTTCTTTAGGTTAACTAGGTGTAAACACTAGAGCTGAAAAGCTACTTTTAAAACTGATCTCGTATCTCATATTCAGTAAACGAAATGCAATCGAAAAATTAATCCTGTTTAAATTAGTAACAAAGTGTTTAACAAAGCGAGTCCAAACCAAAATCTCTATCCTCCTATCACGCCTGTTTTATAGAGTATATATAACTTACCAAATCAGGCGAATACTAGCCAATTTTTGTCTATCTTACCGAATATTATACCTTATAAAACAGTATCAGCTTCACATCTAAGAAAGTAATGTTAAAAGTCAATCCCAGTCATTGATTTACAATACTCGCAACTTGATACCCCTTTGAACAGAAATCAGTTTCCTTGATACCATCCACAAGGCAACCTCTCCTTTCATCTTTCTATCGTAGCATATTCCTTTTCCGGTGTCTTTGTGAGTAAGAGTTTTCTCAGCTGGTAGTATACTACTCTCATTAATCCAAATATATGGTCCACTCTGGTTTTCTTTTCCATCAAAAAATATATCCGATATTTCCTATCATTCTTACGTGTAATGTCTAGATAAAAAAAAATAGGATAGTATCATCAGTTCCCTGATCGCTTTACTTTGAATCCGATATTTGGATGAGCCTCACTCAACGTTAGAGTGGATCGTTTGGATAATTCAGATAATCATATGTAACAAAATACCAACGGCGTATATAGCGTAAAACGTCATTCTGATGCTCGTCTCGTCACTTTCCGATTCGATACGTATATACCAGCGACAATCAGATCGAAATAGCCAACCATAACCATCTCATTCGCTCAATGGCATTGATAATTATTAGACTGGAAATTATTATAACGACAACAGAACCTTTCGTTGATTTGATGAACACAATGTTGTCATTATTTTGTGACCTTTTTATAACATAATAATATGTATCTTTCATTTCAGATGGAAATGATTCGGTTTTAAAAAACCAACTTTTTCTCTTTGTAACTGTTAGTTTGAGACAGAGATCTGATGACAGAAGTTTGAATCTTGTTTCCGTATCAATCCTACTGGCGAATTTCCTAAGAATATGGAATTTGAACATACGTATCAACGTATCTAGAGGTTTGTTGAGATTAATTAGTTGATTTTTAGGTTAGAAGTTATCACGGACTAACATTAGTTCGAAGAGCAATGGACAACTGTTTCGTTTTATCATGGGACTCCTCTTCGCCAGGGATCGAACCAAAAACTTTTAGGTTCCGTGGCGAACGGGGTCATGGGTGCGCACTGCTGAGTCCCGTGTTAGGACAAAACAACTGTCCAGTGCTCCTAGGTCTCCAATGCTCCTCCAACAGATGTCAGCCCATGATGAATTCCAACCTGAAAATATGTACCAAAGTTTGCTGCTGAATTCTATTGATATGCCAGTCAAAAAGATATATGTCATTCTGGTTATTTGGAAAACCATCAGTCAACTTCTCTTTAACCAACAATCTGAAAGTGTCCCAGTAATTACTTTAGCTGTTGTTTTTGTACGTTATCCAGGAAGTTGGAGAATTTTATTATTCAACACACAAAATTTTAATCAGAAACGAGTTTGTCTAATCGCATTATATATCCAGTTGTAAATCAAATATTATCTTGATAGATAACACGATACAAGAATTGATGACTCGACCAGAATTCCCAAGAGATGCAGATAGATTAGTGAGTGGCAAAAATTTAAAGAGCTGATCTAGGCAACACTCGGTTTGCACGCCTTTATAATACAACCTAGCCTCTGTTATTTCCCGTGATATTCTGTGAAGTAAGGTTACTACCAGATAGGTAGTGTCAGACATATTATTTTATTTATTATATATATTTTGCTTATCACTTATTTGGTAACATTATTCCATAACTCAGTTCAAGAGCTTTTCATCCACTTGTCATTCACTTTCATCGTTCGCAAATAACTGCATGTTGATCGATATCAGTTACTGTGTACTACTGGGTGACTTTAAAGCCCACTCTAGCAAATGCGCAAATAACCAATCACGTTTCGGTATTCCAGCTACTAAAGGTAGCTTTTCATAAAATATACAAGACTAATTGGTTATTTCTGCAGTTGCTACGATGGCCTCTTAAGTCACCCAATCGATCAGTAATTTTAAAGGCCACCATAGTAAAAACTGAAATCACCAAATAGACTTCTCTATCTTATAAAATCTGTCTTTCCAGTCGAAATGAAGAAATCTAACTCGATCTTTGCTAGGATGGTTTTACAGTCGCTCGAAATTGGTTGTTTCAGATGTTTTATAAATAGTGGTGGGCTGTGGCCATAAAATTTAGCTGTGTATCCAGATAATTCATATTGCCAGTCTTCACAGTTTATGTTCTGTTGCATACTAAGTATTCCATCCACTTTACAGTTCCATACATCCTCGGCATAAACAAAGTGTTATTAGTTTTACTACGGTCTACTGTTTGCTTCTTCGAGCTAAGTATTAGCAGAGATTTTGTTTAGATCTTTCAAAAAAGTGTGGTAGACATTTTCGTAATGATAAGTAGTATAAAAAATATGAAAGGGAGACAATGATCCCAACCTGCAAGCGATGTCACTAAAATTGTTCAGTGGCTTAAAAGTTTAACCCTCATCGATTTTGAAAAGTCCATGAACACCGTCGACCGAGAAGTAATTTGGCAGTTGCTTCAACATTACGGAGTGCCACAAATCTCTATCAACCTCATTCAACAACTATATGAAGACGCCACATGCCAAGTGATTCACAGTAGAAAGCTCGGTGATGACTTTGAAGTGAAGGAAGGAGTAAGACAAGGTTACCGCCTACTATCATCACCGTTGATCTTACTGATTGTAGTCGACTGGACTGGATCACACAACAAACTATGAGGAGCTAAGAGAAGATGGGCATACGCTGGACCGATGAAAAGACCCCAGAAGATTTGGTTTTCGCCAACGATGATGACTTGTGTCTAATGTCGCCAAAACTCAAAGATCTACAGGCAAAAACCAACAAGTTGACAAAAAAGGCAGCTAGGACGGGACTTCCTTCAGGTGAAAGTAGAGAAGATAGAGGTGATGAAGATACCCAACCAAGAACAATAAAAAGCACCACGAACGGGAGAAACCTAAAGGAAGTTGTCTCTTTCACCTACCTAGGCAGGGCAGCATCGTTTCAACTACAGGCGGCACAGATGAGGATGAGGAGCATTTTCAACAAACTGCAGACATTCATCAATAACCGCCTACGTTCGATATTGAAGACCTGATGTGCAAAAAGAATAAGCAACGAGGAACTCTGGCTGGCCTGGCAACAAACCAACCAAGAACCCATCGCTCAACAAATATGCAGAAGGAAGTGGAGATGGATTGGACTGGACATACACTGAGAAGACCATTCGGGGACATCATGCGCCAGGCCAGTCACTCCAGTGGAAGCCAAATGGGAAACGACGAATTGGGCATCCGAGGCGACGGTGACATCGAGGAGATGGTGTGAGGAAGAAATGAAAGCTTGTGGGCAGTCGTGGAGCCAGAATAAGGAGACCATAGAGAACAGTGTGCAATGGCGACGTGTTACTGAAGCCTTATGTTCCACTAGGAACCCAAGGGACAAATAATAATGTAAAATAATAAAAGTTTAACCAGAGAGATAAAGGAGAAATGAATTTATCTGAATTTACAAATTTCATTGTTTCTCTCTAGAAATCATCCTGTGAAGTATTCTGAAATATCGCAATAGGGTATTGGTGTAAAGAGTATGTAGAAGGAACTTCTTGGAATGTCAAGTGGTTGGAGACGAATGGGTACTTATCAATCTGAAGGTATAAATGATATCATAATGAGAATATTTCATTGCATCAAACAGTGATAGAAATTAATGCCTAACTATCCGGATGCAAAAAGACACTCCGAATAACTGAATCATGGACGAATGATCAAGTCCTGATAGTACCCAAAATATCACTCTGGTAGAGATATGAGTTGAAATCGAAAGAATGAGTTTTTAGAGTTCGCAGGAACGTCTTGCTCATAACCATCGACATGCATAAAATCTATACGGAAGATCTGCTACTTACTGCCTTCAATCATATCTCAACAGTAAAATGTGATCTTAAAAAGCAGTAAAGTTATAACACACACAAGTAAGAAAAGGATAAGATACTTACAGGAAAAAGTACAAACCCCATGAAGTGCCTGCTCCAATAACATTTGGGGTTAAACCCAAGTAAAGACCACGAAAACCTCGATATTGGGCAATGTCATATAAAGTTCGGAATACCTTCGTTGTCTTGGGTCTGTAAAGGTGATAGGGCAAAAAATAAGCAGAAACGATAAATGTCACGCACACAAAAATGATAAGAAGTCACGATCACATCCACTGCACTTTATTGGTTAAGATTTTTGGATCCAGTATGAGGAAAAAGACTTGTAGCTAAGCCCGATAAATGGATTTCTGAAGAAAAGAAAATGATTGAAGTTAGACAATGACGAAACGATGGCACCTGTTGATGTGACCTTACTCTTCCTTCAGTTGGTCAGGATTTAGCCAAAAAGATAATGAATATTTTTCTGAAGAACGACCAAAACCAAACCTAATAACACAGATTTATACCTCACGACCCACCTACTGTTTAGTGTTACGATTTTTGAAAACAATAACAGGAATACGCATGGAACTTTCGACATCACGACTAATTGTTGAAGTAGTGGAGCGGCTGAAATCAATATTTATCTTTCTTATGTAACATAAAATTTTGGATTCGGAACGTACGCAGCACTCTTTCTGCATTCTCAATTAGGCAGAAAAGAAGAAACGGTCAAACTAACCAACCAAACATCTGAAGGAGTTCGATTCGCAAGACAGGAAGAGGATGAAAACAAAGAAATTGACTTCCGAGATGCCTTTGACTACAGAAAGCATGATAGCACCTTGAAAACTCACATGTACAGGAAAACTAAACTTGCTGATAAAAATTTTGTATTACAACAGCTACCACGCCTACGGTACAAAACACTACTTTCAACAGCCAAGACCCATTGCAACACTGAAGTGATATGGAAAATGGAAGAAAAGTACCTGTTGCCGATTGGCACCAATCAACTAACACAGAAAATAGTGCAGTTACCTCAGAAGAGTAATTTCGTTACTTTGCACGTATCAGACAGACAAAATCTAAGTAGAATCTCGCACACAAGTGTATCGGTTCAAGTTGCCACACATCACAGTAGTATACAAAGAATAGGTGGATAGGGAAGACTGATGTCAAATTAGATAAAGGTGTATGGAAGGAGAAGGAATTTAAAGACTAAGGTTCCTCAAAACACTCAAGCTTAAGATGTAAAAGAGTGAATACATCTTCACCACTACGACCAATTTTCAGCCATCTCACCAAGAGTTCACAACTACTGATTCCTATGATCTCGAAGATCCTAGCCAGACAGTCTATACCTGCCTACACGGATTAGACCAATAATTAGAGACTTTATGAAGTAGTGTCATGTTTTAGTCTGGGCACCCTGACTCCTCTTCCAACCTAAGCCACCTTCTCCCAGCATAGCACGGCAAGGTAGACGGTGGCTCCGTATCTGTAACATATATCCAAGCCACCTCAGTCGATGAGGGTTCCCAACCTCACCGACTGATTTACTTGCCTTGTCTAGTACCCTTCGCCTAACCTCAGCATTACTTATACGGTATCGTCACTTTACGTGGGGCAGTGCTACGAAGACACTAGTAGTCAAAAACCCGTAGTCTATTCACATCTACATTCAACTACCATGTCTCATAACGGTAGAACAGGACAGAGTGGACTACAGCACAGTATACTCATCCTTTAGTAGGTAGTCGGATGTGTCACCAGTCAATGCCACAAATAACGCAAGCTGGCAAGTGCCAAACTGGTCTTCTATACCCGAGCCGGGATTTCGTCAGCAACCTCCCCCCCCCCACACTCGAGCTGATACAATTCGTTAAGTAAGTGAAGTGGTCGACGCATTCAACCACTTCACTCACTATCCTTAGACTAAGAATATTTTCAGACCAGTCCTGAAGCGTCATCTTACATCTGAAAGGCATAAAAAGCATGCTAACGCGTTCAGACGACTTTGTATATTTTAAGCTTTTTCACCAAGCAGGGCAATACCATCTGCATGCTACGATCCAACCAGATGACCTCCAGGGAGTAGATATATCCATGTGGAGTCACATGTACCTATGGTTATGTCCACTAGTAGGTCTGTAACGAATTTGAACAGGAATGGTGACAGTGGGAACCCCTGACGGGCACCACTAACTGTCATCAATTCAGATGGCAACTCCCCATAAGCCCTTACATGACTGTATGAGTTCGATTAGCGAGCTTTGATAAGCATTACATACTTGCTACGTGCTCCCTTCATAGTCATCAAGGTTGGCTCAGAGACTGTCAACCGATCACTTCATTTGTTTAGGGCTGCAGCAGTAGAAAAACCGAAGAAATCGCTACTAAACACCTGCAAGCCAATGGAAGACAAAACAAATAATTTTCTATATCAACGGCAAAGATTATAAACAGCACTACACTGGCTAGTTTGGCTGTCAGATTACTCAACAGATACACGAATACCAACTTTTGGCTGAGCATCGTTTGTGGTCTCAATTTACGTAGGCAATCATAATCACAGATTCGAACGATAGAATGTGTAAATACTACAAAAAGCATGTTGGAAAACCACGAAAGTATTTCTAGAAGCCTGGGATTCAAACAAAAAGTCAGCTAATCAACACCCGGATATAGATCCAATCTACGACCTACTAAGGAAGAAAAAAGTAACTTGTCACCAACTGATAACTGATTTTAAAAATCAATAGTCAGAGTTGGTAACAACTAGCATAACTTTAATTTCTTCTAGTATAATCCAATCAAATGTAAGATGATAGAGATCAAGATGCAGGAAACAGCTTTTCAAACCTATAATCGAACAGTGCAAAGGTTCACAGTCTAGTACACGAAATCGCATAGTAGTCGTGGAGAGATAAATACCACGCTGGTAAACTGTTATCATGAGGTTTCTACTACCTAACAACGCATTTAAATTAATGATTCAATCATGACAGCCATTTAGCAACTTGGGTCCATTGGTTAAATTATGATTGATAGCTGATATTTTGTCATACGACCTATTTGCAGTAAAACTGTAGAACCGGACTTTGTCTATCATAGAAGCATAGATAAGCTAACTAAACCGATAAAACTCCAGACCTGAGTTTTCGTCAACTAAAGTTCGGACACCATCTATAACTTTGTTAGTCCTAATTTTGTGTTACTCAATTGATAGTACTACAGTATGGATAAATCAAAACCTCTGATAAGATCATATGTCCTTAATACTCGAAAGAAGTATATGTAATTGGTTCCCAACTAATGGGTCATGGGTCCGAGCGCAGACGGACATATCGAGGTTTGAGTAGCGAGGTACCACTAGCCCCACATAATTGGTGTGACTCATTGTCTATTTCAAGAGCACGCACAGAATTACTGTGTGGATTTCGGTTCCATTCGATATGCTGTAAATGATCTTACATTTCGCTAATAACATGTTAGAAGCAAAGTGAAGAAAGTTACTTTTACCTCTCTAAGCTGAAGCATGTTTATCCTAGCAAACTGATTCGATTACAGTCTGAATGTAATGGGGATCTATGCCTCAATATCAAGCTACAGATACACGCACTTGTGGTGGGTAGTATTCCGTTTTGGTGGATTTTATAAATGGAAGTCAATGGAGTGTAATTTCCATTTGTTATTCCCAGGTGATTGAGCAAATAAAACAACTTTTGAATCACCACTCTGCTGTTGATTCTATGAAACTTAATAACAAACATTCTTGCTTTTCACTATACAACTCTTAGCTTAAGCTGAATGAATCGTTTTTGCTAACATACTCTATAGTTTGAGCTCCTTTAAATGAAGTTTTTAGTTACATTTTGTTCCATCCTGAAAATGAGAACTGAATATGTCTAACAGTAAAGTACAGTAAATCACAGTATCAAATCAGTTAGCATAATGTCTGCATTGCAAACTTGATTAACAGGCCTCAATCAACGCTTAAGCCAAGACAGATAGAACGATTACCATTCGGTGATCAATCTGTGTACACAATTCATATGAGTTTTCCGACATTTTGAGCCCAAAGCAAGATGCCCCGGATCTCGAGATATTGATCAACTTACAAACCAACATTTTCAAACGCTCTATGGTACGCATGCATATGTTTTGTTTATTACCACTGTCGTCTGCTATCTTGAAATATACCCCTTCGAGGGAGTCAGCAACATGTATACAGTAAAAACCATAACACCAACGTTCTTCAACTTCTACCGAAATCAGCTGCGCGCCACCATTCGGCACACTATCAAAATTAATATTCGAGACATCCTACTTAACTGATTTTATACCTCACTAGCGCAATCTTCTCAGATAGAAGGATGAGTCTATAGACAGAAAGTCGTCGACTGTTAAGTATATCATCTACTCAACAGTTTCATATATCCTCGGCATAAACAAAGTGTTATTAGTTTTACTACGGTCTACTGTTTGCTTCTTCTAGCTAAGTATTAGCAAAGATTTAATGTAGATCCTTAAAAAAAAAATATGGTAGAAATTTTCAAAATGATAAATAGTATGAAAATATGAAAGTGGAAGAAAATGATCCCAACCTGCAAGCGATGACACCTGTACCTTCATTGACCTGTAATCTGATTTTGACTAAATCCAATGGATGCAAAATCAGCGCCGATGCTACTCCACCAGTAACGCCAGCCACCAAATTCTGCCACTGTGTTTGATCAAAAAACCGTGTAATCATAGATCTCGCACGTGTCACAGTAAGTACGACACTTTGACAATAACTTGAACGCCGATTCTGAAAACTGAACAAAATGCAGTATGTTTCAGAATCAGAAAACTGATCTACATATTGAAAGGTTTGACACTTACTAATTTATATTGTCTGAAAGGTGGAATACCGCAAAATACAAAATGTGGTTCTTGTGAAGCTCTAACCATAGCTTTAACTTATTGTAACCACAGGCAGGTTTAGGAAAGATAATGAATTTTAAATGTTATTCACTTCCTGAACATACACATAGAATTTTTCGCTTAAATAAAGGGTGTGACTCTGAATCGGAGAAGGATTTGATTGATGCATTTTAATCAAGTGTAACTAGAAAGTCACTAGCAGACCAGCAATTACAGATCATGTTACTTTGAAAGTCAGTTCAAACAAGAATGGACAACAAATATAAATGACTTTGTAATCATTTGAAAAGAAGACAACTACTTATGTTTAAGATTATCCTTGTACCTTGTTCATATTCATCCATCCAGATCAACACAGGACCAGGCATTACTGAGTAACGGTCTGAGTTGCCACACCTCATATCAGCACATCAATTAAAAAGAAGATAAGAGAATGGAGTCAAAAGAAACATTAAGTACGAAAAGAGAGAAACGAAGAATGAGAAAATGGTGCGATTCGGTATAGCGTCGTTAAGATGAGGATAATGTATGTATGCATCTTCTCCACTGACAACGGTTCTGATCCATATCACCTACAGTCTCCAACCACTGGTTCCTCTTGTCCCACGGACCCCAACCACATAGTCTGCATCACCCCACATGGCTCAAACCAACAGTCAAAGACTTCATACATTGGTGCCATGTTTTAGTCTGGCCGAGAGCCAAGAGCCTTTTTCCAGCCTGAACCTACTTCAGCCAACATTGTGTGACGAGGCAGACGGCAACTAAGCATACGTAACACGTGTCCCAACCATCTCAGTCGATGAAGGTTCATAACCTCGTCAACCGACTTACCTCTTCTCCCCAAAACTCTGCTCCTGACTTCTGCATTACTCACATGGTGACACCACGGAATACGTCCTATACTACGAAGGCAACTGTGGTCAAACACTTCAAGCCTTCTCATGTCTTCCACCTTCAATGGCCATGTTTCACAGCCATACAGTAGAACAGACCGGACTGCTGTGCAGTATACACGACCCTTAATAGGCAATCGGATATCACGGCGGCGCCATAGGTGGCGTAAGTTGGCGGAAGCCAACCGAGCCTTTTGTATCCGTGCAGAGATTTCACCGGCCACTGAGCCATCAGGGCTGATCCTTCTTCCCAGGTAAGTGAAGTGGTCGACACACTCAACCATTACACTCTCTATTGTTAGCCGCGGTGGGGCACCGTTGAAGACCAGTCATGGAGCAAAAATTTGCATTTGGGTGGTGAAAATCGCATCCCAAACATTCTCAAATTCCCACTCAAAGTGTTCAGAAGACTCTGCATCTTGTCAGCGTCTTCAACTAACAGGACTATGTCATCTGGATATTCTAGGTCTAACGAAAATTCTCCTGTGATTAGGTCAACGTCTGTGTAATTAGGTGACGAGAGGGAAATCTCAATAAGAATATCTATGATAAAATTGAATAAAAATGGAGACAGTGGGCATCCTCGATGAGTATAGCTCCCTGGACAACTCGCCATAAGCTCTAACATGCCCACAAGTGTTCGAGTAGAGAGCTTTCAATAAGGTGATGTACTTACTCGGCACACTTCTCAGTGACGGACATTGCCAAAAGACTTCTCGATCAAAGGAGTCAAATCCCGCCTTCAAGTCGAGAAATACAGGTGATGAAGATACCCAACCAACAACAACAAGCTCCAATCACCACCAACGGGATGAACCTAAAGAAAGTAGTCTCTTCCACTCACCACCTAGGCAGCATCGTTTCAACTACAAGCGGCACAGGAACAGATGAGGATGTCAAAACCAGGATCGGAAAAGCAAGACAGGCTTTCACTAATCTGAAATCAGTGTGGAGATCTACTGCAATCAGCATCAAGAACAAGATCCGGATTTTCAACACTAATGTCAAGTCAGTGCTGCCATATGGTTCAGAAACTTGGCGTGTCACGAAAAGCATTTCCAATAGACAAGACATTCATCAACAACTATCTACGCTCGATACTGAAGATCAGATGGCCAGAAAGAATAAGCAACAAGGAACTCTGGGAACGAACCAACCAAGAACCTATCACCCAACAAATATGCAGAAGAAAGTGGAGATGGATTGGGCATACACTGAGAAGGCCGACTGGGAACATCACGCGTCAGGCCAGTCTCTCGAGTGGAATCCAAAGGGGAAACGACGAGTTGGGCGTCCGAGGGTGATATAGAGGAAATGATATGAGGAAGAAATGAAAGCTTGTGGGCAGTCGTGGCGCGAGGTTCAAAAGACTGCAGAAAACAGAGTGCAATGGAGGCGTGCTACTGAAGCTTCGTTCCACTAGGAACCCAAGGGGAAAATAATAATAATAATAATAATAATAATAATAATAATAATAATAATAATAATAATAATAATAATAGTGTAGATCCTACCTAACAATCAATCATGCAACTTAGGAACCCGGTACAGGTTTATTAACATACTGTGTTGCATAATATGAGGGCTACCTAGTTGAACACATTGAATTCAGAGAAGTACAAAACGTGCACGGTTGTAAATTACTACTACACACTAGGCTTGTTGATTTGATGCAGCACAGTGATACATTACTTACTGGACGACGTTCCGAGCATAAATTATTCCTCACAATTATGTCAAAATGAAGTTCGATTATGAGAAATGACTTGTGCTGAATACATTATTGGTCTGAGCCATGTAGGGAGGTATAGACCGCTTGGCTGGGGCGCTCCAGATCATAGGAATCGGGTTGAAAACTCTTGGTGAAATGCCTGAAAATCGGTTACAATGGAGCAGATGTATTCACCCTTTACCGTCTTCTAAAGCTTGAATATTTGCACTAATCTTTATCTTCGAATTACTTAATCTCTCACAAGTTTGTCTACTTTGATACCATTCTCATTTTATCCCCTTGTTCTTTATATACTACTTTCAAGTGTGGCAACTTGAACCGGTGCACTTGTGTGTGAGATTCTACGTTGATTCTGTCTGTCTGTCTGTTCACACAAAAGATACTCTTTGCTGATGAGTTCTAACAAAAACAAAACGTAGGTCAAGGGTTTCCTGTCGACTACCTCCAACTACTTAACATCAATTAGAAGTGCATCTAGCTTGCTGAATATATAGTGATTGATAGAATACGGTTAGCATTTCGAACTAGATAAAATGAAATCAGCTACCGTTTAGAGGCCGCATAAATTATATCAGTCCAACAAGTTACAGTAATACACAAATCGGACATCAACGAAAATAAAAAGACACTGAAATAAACAGGAAAACAAGGTTAGGAAAATGTGTAGAATGTTGAGAACAATAAAGAGTGGATACATTAGTCACTGATCGATTTCAAGACATGTAATTACCAGTCCCCAAACATTGTTTCCTAGTTTTCCAGGTACCTCTTCACAGCTGAGATCATTCAACCTTCTTGCGCTTCCACGGTTTGTGAGTTAAATAGACGAAGGTTCTACCTGCATTTTAGACGTCAGAAGGGTACACCGATATGCTAATTACATTTTGTGTTGTTGTGGGGTAGTTGTAACTGTAAAAGAAGGGTCATGAAAAATCATTTGATGAGGATAGTTCAGCCATACGCCTGTAAGTTCTAGCCCCTCCAAAAAGATAATTGAGGGTTTTCAGAGTGTAATCGGCAAAACTGTGTTGGTTTGGGGGGTTGAGTAACACAATGGCATGATATATTATGAAGTATGACTCAGTACTGCAACGAGTAACTAGGATGTCTTGATTTTGTTGTAGCTCTTTTCAAAAAGCAATACAAAAGTAAAGATTCTTGGATAAGTCTAGATGTTTGCTTTTGAGTTCTGATAACCTTTTCACTTTTACGCTCTCATCATACATGATTGCAAAATGATACTACGTTACTCGACAGTTTCATGCCAAATGTTGCGCAAATATAAATAAATGGTCTAGGTGATATAAATTAGCAACCTGCGGTAAGACAGCGGGATTAGACCAAGCCAGTTTGTTCAGTCTTCATAAGGTTTGTGATCAATCAATCCAACCGTTTCATCTTAACGACCATGTACAGGTTCATACATCAGGGCAAACAGTCGCATATGTGATACTACTTGGCTGTTCATATCTTAATAGGTGCAGCACGGTTCGAACCCATAACAAACTGGTTGGAAGTAGCGTGTTTAGACCAATAGATCACAGTCCAAGTTATCACTTTATTCGCTAACTTTAGAAGCGATTCCGACATATGCTTCATGTTTGAAAAGTGAAACTGTCAAGATTCCATATTCTAAATAAGGTCCAATATGTCGGATATATTATGATGAACATCAGCGTAGCTCACAACTCAACGACATTACGTACTGACCTTCACAGTCAATCACCTACACCATTTGGCACGTTTCTGTATCAGGTTACAATGCTCGCACACAGGATTTCAAGTCAGTATGCTGACACATATCAGGCTTGAGATGCTGATCCATAAATATTTTTACTCCCACGCAAAGTAAACTCGTTAGTTCCGTACTCAAGAGTCTCAGAACAAATACCGCGAATTCTAGTCAGTTTCTGAGCTTAACAAGATCATATTCTCTGGCTGTAAATGTTTTCATCAAAGTTCCCACAGACCTTCGAAGTCGGTAAGGCGATGGACTAGATGAAGCACCTTTTTAGTGACGTGAACAGAATCACAATTAACGGGAAACTATGCCGTGGAAACCAATGAAGAGTGACATTTGTTAATGTACAACTACAAGCTCGCCTTTTGTTATATTCTATTTAAACGCAATATCCATAAAGATTAAGAAATAACGTCTTATATTTCAGAGGACGTTGAACTTGGGAGATGTGTGAAATAATGAGACAGACTTCTGATAAATAACGATTTAAACTATAATTTCTGAACTGCTCAGAACCATAGTC